AAATAACAAGTAAATGAAAGAATGGGAAAGGAATGGGTGGGGGTTCACCGACCGGAGTCATGATACTTTGAAATCAGGGTAGGAACCCACAATATGTAGGAATGTCAGGCCCACACTGAGACTGAAGAAGTTCGGAGCTGTATAAAACCGTGTTGTTGGTAAGGTTTATCATTGGCTGAAGGAGTGCAAAACATCTCAAAGCATGAGGACACTATAAATTGGATGATTTGAAAGCATTTAGAGGAACCGAGAGAGAGCCAAGGAACAACCAAAAGTGTAGTGTACACTAAAGGTGTCCGAAACATCATACAGTTGCAAACTTCCTGAGGCACATGATGAACTAGGAAGGTCCAGAGCACCATGAAACTCAAGATATTTGAAACGAAAATTAATGTTGGCTATTGAAGAATATGCAATGATATTTTAAGATCGGTTTGTCTTAATGTAGGTAAGGAAGCACCATGAAGCTCAAGATATTTGAAAATAAAATTCATGTTGACTATCGAAGGATATGCAATATGATCTGTTAAGATCGGTTTGTCTTAATGTAGGTGAGGAAGCACCAAGAAGCTCAAGATATTTGAATAAAAATTCATGTTGGCTATCGAAGGATACAGAATGATCTTTTAAGATCGGTTTGTCTTAACGTAGGTAAGGAAGTATATATTATAATACGATATAAAGAGTAGCTTTTGGAACATTGGTAAGTCCCAACTTTAAGAGAAATAAGAAATCAAAGTAGTTACTACCAGTAGCAATGATTTAGTAGATGACCCGCTGAAGCATTTTAGGAACCAAGACATGGCTAAGGAAAAGGTGAAGGTAGTATGAATTGAAGCAGTTTGAAAGTGTTGCAAAGCTGAGAAGTAGTTAGGTAAGGCGCGTTGTGGACCAGGAAGGCAGGTGAACCATAAATCGAAAGGTAATATGGAGAAACGAAAACAAAAGATCGAAGGAGTTAGTACTACTATTTTTCAGTAGATGATCCACTAAATTATTTAGTAAAAAAAAAACTAAAACCATCAAGCACACGTTGATAATGAGGTAATGAATACATAATAGTAATGATTACACACATCAGAGAGATGTGGGAGTATGATTAAGATGTTGTCAATTACAGAGAGGATGTGTAGAGGCACGCTACAATTGCATTTCATGCATAGTGCATTCTTGAGACTTCAAAGAAGTCGTACATTCTCATGATTTGGATTAGCTTTTCCTAGATTTTCAGTTGATGAAGTACTCAAGAGTGAGGAAGCCAACCTTTGTTGATAATATGGTTCCTGAATGTGCTTGACCATGTATTCCAGCAAGCCATCGACAAGGAGAATAGGTCGACTTTTGAGAGGTTAACCGGTAAAAATAAGAGATGGAAGCACAATTCCATTTGAGAAGATGTGCCTAAGACGCAGTATATTGTCCTGTTTTGGTGAGAAATTTAAGCTGTAGGAGATACCATTAGGTTGGGGAATGATGTCACAGGGACCATGAAAAATGGTGGTAATTTGCTATAGCCGCAGATTGACCATTCTCAATCCCTAAATTTCCCAAATTCGGTTGAACCAAGCCACCAATTGGGAAGGGCAGGGGTTTATGAGATTGGTTTGCTGGACAAGTTTGATTTTGACAAATGTTTGGAGTATATATTTGGCAACTTGAGAAATATATAAGATGTATAATCCAGAAAGAATGAAGAGTGAGTTGAGTACAGGTTGCTTTAGGGCCGCAAAAAGTCGCATGCTGTACGGAAATAATGATGATGACCACACAGTGAAGATAACTTGTAGATGGGGATACTGCTTGATTGTGGGTATTGTTTGCGGATAAGTGTTCTTTCTTCTCCACGAGCATACTGCGTAATCATGGGAATATGCGTGTCGACCAAATACTCTCCGCTTTGATTTGAAGGGACAAATGCCCACAGGATGGATGTCCTCAAGAGTGTAGAGGTGCATCTTCCCATTTGATGATCAATTTTAGGGGTTGTAGGTTTGAACATCACCCCGAAGTCCTTTCAAAAAGTAACTAATGGCATGGGGGTTGTTCATAGAGACTGTGCTTGGGCGAGCAATGTAAGCACACATTATGATTGTAGAAAATAAACCAGTGGCAAGAGCTAGAATTGGTGAATGGGCTGGTAGGCAAGAGTGAAGATAAAGAGTTGCAAAAGCAAAGAATGTTACAAGGGCTACAACCTGGCGATTTCTTAGCTTGCATTGGTAGTTCAATTTCAAGGAACAAAAAGTACTTGAGAGAGAGCCAAAAATATGCAAAAGGATCGTCGCACTAGTGCTTGGTGAATGGTACGCGTTCTATGAGGTGGGGCTTGCTGGTAAGGTTATCTCAATGCTGGCATCTTTTGTTTTTGCCTGTCATGTGGGGGTTGCTCTTTCTTGCGTGCTCATAATGATTTATTACTAATAAATTGTTATTCAAAGAGTACAATTGCCTTGATTCTATCTATGAGCAATCGCCATGGTTTGCTGTGCTTCATTCCTTTGCTGTTATTTTTCTAGCAGTGTAATTTGTTATCCTGTCATTAACATGAGATGGACTGCGTTTGAAACAGAAAGTCGGCGCAAGCGGAATCGGTCAAAGAAACCTGCAGCAAATCCAATGCCAGCGAAGAGGAAGAGGCAAAAGGGAGCTTTTCTGATGGATGGTGGACAGAAAGCTGGATGCAGGAGAGGAAATGCGTGGTGTGTATTGGCTCATTGGATGGGGAAAATGCGCATGGGTGTGTGCGATATCTGTTGTCGAGAGCCCGGTTTCTGCCGGGGTTGCTCATGTTTGCTTTGCGGGGAAGACTTGCGGCCAGATCCACTTGGAGTGGAAGTCATTCGGTGTATGGGCACGCTGGAGCGAAGAGTGAAAGGGGGGGTTGCTGGTGGCTCTGGAGGGGCCACGGGAGGGTTAGCGGGAGGAGCCGTGGCCAAGGCCGGAGATGGGGCATGCCTTCATGCAGTTCATTTGAAATGTGCCATGGAAAACCGCGTGGCAGGTGTTGTCTGGGAGCTTTGTCTAGATGCCGAGTATCTTTGTCGTGCTTGTGAGACAGTTAGCAACTTGATGCCTATGTGGGGGCGACTGATTGTGCTGGCGATGGATGGAACGGATGAGGGGCTCTCGGCACGCACAGAAATGTTGAAAACATTGACAACGGCACTTCATATTTTGAAAGAAACAGATCGGGAGGATCTAGAAGGAGCTTTCAAGTTGGTCGAGCTAGTAATCAAGCGGGTGAGTTCTGCTCTGCTTGCACACATTACTCCCAATGGAAAAAGTTGAGAAGGAACTTCCTCGTACTGAATGAGATGTGTGCGTGAATTTGCAAAATGATCGCCATGCCACTTCATTTGCAGAAAGCTTACTCGTTTTATCCATGACACAAATGGAGGACAATCAAACATGAGTAAAAAGGGTGCAAGGTACCTCTGATTGTCTCTGTGCGTTACAATCATGGCCCTATGTGAACCGTCGGACTCCAGATCACCCACGAGGGATTCAACGAGTTCTTTTCCTTCGTTTTCAAGAAATCCCTTTATTTTGGCAGCCTGCCACCTTTATTACAACTTTCAAGAATCACAAGTACTTCTGTCCGTCATCTCACTTACACGCTTGATTGAGATGAGATCACAGTTGATTGCAACTCCACAGAAAATCAAATCAGAGTTGAACAATCACGCCCAAAACAGTAGATGAGACAAGAAAAAGGTTATATAGAACTGAGTGCAGTGCTTCCCTGAGCACATGCAACGATCAGCTCACCGCCATAGCCAGCGAACAGCAAGGTCTTTCTGGCCATGGCTACACTCTCTCTCTCTCTCTCTCCCCCTCTCTACCTCCTCCCTCCCTCCCCCCCCCCCCCCCCCCCCCCTCAAGCAGTGCTGAAAGTAGCGCACTTGTAGTCTCACCACAGCAAAAATAGGATGAATGAATGACGGTTTTGCCCCATCTTGTCGCTTTCGAGGAGCTGCTACTTGCCTAGGCCGACAGCGTCTGCCTACCAAAAGGAAAGCCTAAAAAGGTCCTACCCTGCGTAGCATCGTGTTCGCGTTCGGAGGCGAACATGTTCGCACGAACGCAAATGAGCACCGAAAACCGTCCGAACGCAAACATAAAAATTATATATATATATATTTAAAAAAAAGTCAGAAAAATCTGAAAACAATATATGTCATGTAAAACAACAATACTAGCAACTTTTGCCTTGGAGTCATGTTCAAATTCGCAGCCAAACGTCAGTAAAAAATCAAAAACTGAAAAACGAAAAATTAATTTTATTTTATTTTTTCCCCCCAAAAAAAATTGTGTTTGCCCGAACACACTCGCGAGCTGTTTGCGCGAACGTGCGAACACGTTTTTGCGCGAACGCGGAGGGGCGCAAACACGTTCGCCGTGCTACGCAGGTCCTACCACAGGGACTGTACACGCAGCCCCCGAGGTCAGGACTGACCAGCTTTGGTGTGTTCTATGAGAAAAATAACACAGCTGTACTTAGTACTTACTCTGTTTGGTTCCAGGTTCAGATCCTTGCGGGAACAAAAGTAACAACACCGTAGATGCAGGAAATACTTGGGCAGGTTGCGGGTTTACTGTCCACAATCTCAACAGCCTCCCACGGTCAGTCTGAAGTCCTCTGAGAACATCACATGGTCCTACTCAAAAGGGGCCCTGTGTTCCCAGAGAAAACAAAACACTGAATCACGAAAAGTGTAAGCGTACAATGGTCTATAGTTCACATGTACTACATGGTGGGAGGATGCATCTTCGTTGTGCCTGTGAGTTTTTGATGCCATGTAGAGCATCGATTTGGAGGCATGAAACACAAAATAAGTCTCCTGTCCACGAGGTATGAAGGTCTATTTGGATCATCAACAACATGTGGTAGCTCCTGATTTCCGGGCCATTTAGGTAGCAATTTTCTGCAGACACCTTCAACTGCAAACTCGTCGATGCTCACCCAGGCTTCCCTCCTTGAAGATAGAAAATGTGGCGGCTTGTTGGCTTGATCAGCAATCGCCTCTTGGACCTGCGTGCTCCTGATAGCTTGTTGGAGTTTTCCACCATATGATGTAGTGAGCTCCCTCGTCCTAGGAGGGTGCTTGAGCAGCTCATCCACAACCATAAAGTCCACCATGATCCCAGCTATCTTGCAGTGCAATAACTCGAAGGAAGAGAATGCCATTCAGTTACAACTGAAATGAAAGAAGTTGGAAAGAGAAGTAGACAAAGGAAGAAGAAGAGATGAGAATGGAAGAAGAAGAAGAAGATGAACACCAGCAAAGTCCAATGTCAGTCCCCCTTCATGTCGCCACCATGTACTCCCCCGTGACTTGAGAATTCCGTCGTTTGATTATTGCCTTATATGTTTGTGAAGTCAATAAAAACCGATTCACTGGGATTGGAAGGGATGGGGAGAGGTTTCAGCAGGCCAAGAGGTGGTTTTCTATGGATCTTAGTCCGCTGACAGAATTCGCATCCTCCCACAGACTTCTGCACAGACCCCTTCATGTTAGGCCTGCCAAATTGCTGCAATAAACTTCCTAAAGTTTTGATGAAGCCGAAGTGTTCCCTCCGATCATGTGCCAAATCCAAAAAGTGGGTTCGGAGAGGCGCATGGTTGAGAACACAATCTGTCGAACACTCCATATCTGTGAAACAACACACCCTCACACTTGTGGTTATCAGACTGACTACTAGGGTCAGCCTTGAGCCGCTCAAGGATTGGACTGTAGTCCAGGTCCTTGGCAATATGCTCTACCAAATCATCCTTCAATTTCTGTCGAAGTTTTTCAGAGCACACAAGGCAAGTTGTATACTCCAGATGCTGAGACAAAGCATCAGCAACTCGATTGTAACAACCGTTTTTATGTTTCAGTTTGAAGTCATACACATCAATCTTATGCAACCAGTGGAACAGTGCGGTAGACAAGTTGGTTGGTAACTTAATCCACTGCAAGATTTTATGATCAGAGAAGACCTTGAAGTGACATCCGAAAAGGTAGTGCTGCCAATGCTTTGGTCCGTCCTCGAGGCATAGAGCTCACGCATATACTTGGAGGTAGCTCCCTTGCTGCTGGGCATGTGTTTGCTGTAGAACTTGAGCAGATGAGGCCATCACCTCCATCTAATTGCAGCACTGCGCCAATCCCATATTGGCTCGCATCCATAGTGACTACGAATGTGAGTTTGGGATCTGCAATATGGAGCACAAGATGACTTGTTGAAGCCTCTTTCAGGGCTTGAAAAGTAGTCTCACATGCAACATTCTAGGATAGATTCTTACTAGTCAGTCTAAAGAAGTCGTGAGCAATGCCAGAGAATTTGGTGACAAACTTTGGATAGTAAGAAGCCAAACCAAGAAAAGAGCACAGTTCATGTGCATTTACTGGTCGAGGATAAATTGCGAATGACCTCAACGTTGCTTGCCTCAGGCTCGAGGCCTGCAGCAGACAACTGGTGCCCAAGATAGATGACACGGTCCATCCCCAAACTCAGATTTCACCAAGTTGAGGTGCAACTGTGAGGACTTCCTCTAGATGGTTGAGGTCGATCCATGAGACTTTGAGAAGTTGAAGGCGCGTTCGTAAGACCGAAGGGCATGATGATGAACTCGTACAACCAATAGCGTGTTTCGAACTCAGTTTCGTGCTGGTCAGCCGGATCGGCTTCAGTCTGATGATAATCAGATTTGAGGTCGATCTTGGAAAAGACCTTGCACCGACCTGCAACATCTAGCAGGTCATCATGCGAGGTAAAGGATAGGCATTCTTCCTGTGATTTGGTTCAGCCCATGATAATCAGTACACATCCGGAGCTTTCCTCATTTGTTAGACACAAAGAGAACGGGTGCACCAAGTTCAGATTCACTCGGTTTTATCCAACCTCGGTCAATCATGTTATCAATCTGCTTACATAGCCTCTAACTCGGCTGGTCCCATGCGGTAGACACAACCTTTGGAGGAACACTACCTTCCAATAGCTCACTTTTGTGCTTGACCGGGCGCATGGGGATTCCACGTGGGTCGACCAGAACTCCAGGAAACCGATCTAGGAGGCTGTGAATGTTCGCTGGGATTGCGGTGGAGGAGAACTAGTTTCAGGAGAAGAAAAATCAAGCTGCGAATTTGCAGCCAAAACAACAGATTTCGAAGTACATGAAACTGAATTGGAAGTAGATTGAGAAGGATCAGAAGTAAACTGAGTAGAAGTAGACACATTCTCAGAAGTCGTGGTGGCAAAACTGCGAAAGTAGAAGGTACATGAGTAAGCTTTGCAAATGTTATATACATCTGCTTAGCGTTCTCTCGCTTGCAGCATTTTTTGCAGAATTGCATCGCGTTAAGAAAAGTCACAGGGGGCTCTCACATTTCATCCAAGAGGACAGAGCACTCGCTTTCCATACCGTCAAGCACCACGAATCATAGCTCCTTCTGAATCATTCTTTGGCATTGGGCTTGAAGCCATCCCAAGCCAAGGACCGCTTGAAAAAGACACTCTTTGAGGGTGTAGAAGTTAAGATTATGTGTGATAATTGGCAAAGGCAGTGCGCACACCTTTGACTGCACGCGTGGGGGTGACAACTGCCTGGCTGCCAACCCGGGTTTTGTAGGAGTTGTCTAGCTCCACCTGCTTCATTCCTAAGCCCACCTGACAAATATTGCGCAGAGAGAAGAAATCTGCAGTTGCACCACAATCAATTAATGCACGAATGTAAGTATTGTCAATGATGAGCTTGAAGAAGATTAACTTTACTCTCGGCTTTGCTTAAGCTTGGGAACTTGATATACATGTTAGTGGAGGTCTACTTCTTGAGATTCCTCCCAAGGTAGTGCGCATGTGTGTGATAATTGGCAAAAAGGTAGTGCGCATGTGTGTGGTAATTGGCAAAGGTAGTGCGCAGGTGACAGCTGCCTGGCTGCCAACCTGGGTTTTGTAGGAGTTGTCCAGCTCCACCTGCTTCATTCCTAAGCCCGCCTGACAAATATCGCGCGGAGAGAAGAAATCTGCAGTTGCACCACAATCAAGCAATGCAGGAATGTAAGTATTGTCAATGATGAGCTTGAAGAAGATGCACGAATGTTAGCATTGTCAATGATGAGCTTGAAGAAGATTAACTTTAATCTCGGCTTTGTTTAAGCTTGGGACCTTGATCTACATGTTAGTGGAGGTCTACTTCTTGAGATTCCTCCCTAGGCTCTTCATAGAGAATGTGAAGAGAATCAGCCTTGGAATCA